CAGGTTGGTGGTTGTGGTTGTGAAGGGAAGCAAAACATATAGGTATTTAGAATTCACTTTATGATGATGATAGAAATACTGGTGGGCTTCCAAATTGCTTTAACACTGTAGATATATCAATAACACATTGCCCAACTGATTGCTGTCTCTGTTTCTCACTCTCTCTATATATATAGTGGTCTTTTTTTTTGTAATTGTGGAAGAACATGGATTTTGGGGTATTTTGCAGAATGACTTAGGAATTTTTTTTTAATCAGGGATTTTTCAGTTTTCAAATAGTGAACACTATAATTCCTACTAGGAAGGCCAGTGGCAGTACCCTGCCTGCTCAGAGCTGGCACCTTGGACCCAGCTGGAGGTGGCTGACCTCCTGGGCAATTGCGGCCAGGAGGACATGCTTTGACAGTTCAAACCAGACCACCACACCAGGAACATCTTCCAGGAGATAACTGCTCAGATAGCCAGCTAGGGGCACACATGGTAGTAGTGCTGCACAAAGGCTAACTTCGTAGCCACGGCCCACTAGCAGCTGGCCCAGAGGGGCAGATGCCTCTACTGGCTGTGCAGTTCCCATCCAGGTCTGGCAGGTGCGCAGCAGGTCACAGCTAGGCAGCAGCCTCCACTGCCAGACTGCTGCAGTGGGTAAAGGGCAGTTTCTGCTGTCCTGCTGGCACAAGGGGTAGTGTCCCCAGGTACCAATTGGCTGGGCCCCAGAAGCTCCTGAGAGTGAGTAGCCCTGAGCTACTTGACAGGGAAGCTTTTTGTACTGATGGGGCCAGGACAGGGCAGCTTTTCATACTGCTGAGGACAGCACAGGTGCTGCCCCTGGGCTTTAGCTCCCTCTGGCTGCAGATCCAGGAGGAGCCAGGCAGGGTTATTTTGCCCCAAGTGGCACAATTTGCCCCACACTAAAGTGCATGTCCAGGCACATTTGCCAAGGCAAAAAGCCCCAGCTCAAATTTTCACCGCTTTATTTGAGCTGCTGCAAGCACACATGCCTGCATGTGTGGACATGCCCAAGGAGTTCAGGTTACATGATGCAATTCTGCCATGTGTTAGAGAATTATTCTGTCTCCTTGCATGACGAGACCAATGCAAAACTAGGACTGAAGCCACACATTCTACCTGTTCTGCAAGTGGAAATCTTTTCCATCCAAGGAATGTATTGTTACTTGATAGAATTCACTTGCCAGATGACTGAAATGTATAACCTCCAGAAATGTAGTTAAAACATCAAGAAAGTAAGACTAGTAAATTGAAAATGTTTTCTGAGAAGTTGTATGAAGCTAGCAAAGTACATTAGGCTGGTTTTGCTTCTGTCCTCCTGTTATGCTTTGACACATGCAGACAGGTCACCAATCACTGTTTTACCCACGTCCTCAAATAGTTGGCTGATGCACTTGGAATAAAAAGTGTATAAACAGTGTATACACAATAAATGAAAATCCTGGGCAACTAGAACTCCGAGGTAGATCATTAAATATGACTAGAAGGGATCAGGGTTTTTTACTCAGTGGAATACACTAATAAGGCCAGAAAGCAGCCTTCTCCCTCTGCCACCTTGTATTCAGTCCCAGGATGAGAGGCTTTCCCCCTTCATGTCATATGGGGAAAAAAAAACTTCATCTTGGAATTGAATAAATACAGTATATGCTAGCTATAAAGCCAATCCATTCTAGAACTTTAATGTCTTTTAGTTTTTCAGCCTTTGACAAAGTAACATTGTAATTCCTTTCAGTGAATCCCACAGGGATATCCTGTCATCCCTCCATAAATTGTTAAGCTATATCAAGGCTGTCCCAATGGTGACCCACAGGCTAAAGGCAGCCCACAAGTAGTTAAATCCTGGTCCTTAGTACCAGATATCCTGAAGTGGGATGAGCAGCAGCAATGTTAACTCCCATGGCTATGACAACCACTGTGCCAGTGAGGCCTTGCCACAGAATGTCTGGATTTAGCTCACTGTTGGAGACACCTTTTGGTGACGGGGCAAACGGTACTGGTGCAATCTGAATATGGGGGGTTAACACTGCTGCTGCCCACCCCACTGCTGGAGTGGATTGCTGGGATCACAAGAAGCCCCATAGTCCAGATCCAGCCAACCAGCCAGCCTAAAGGGGTAGGACAGCCCTGAGCTAGATGACAGAAGGTATCGTCTTTAATTAGCAAGGCTTATAGAATCATAGAAAATTAGGGTTGGAAGGGACCTCAGGATGTCATCTAGTCTCCTTGCTCAAAGCAGAACCATCCTCAGCTAGATCATCCCAGTCAAAGCTTTGTCTAGCCAGGTCTTAAAAACCACCAAAGATGGAGATTCCACGATTTCTCTGGGTAACCTGTTCCGGTGCTTTCTTAACTTTGTGATGAGAAAGTTTTTTCCTAATAACTAACCTGAACTTCCCTTGCTGGAACTTGAGACCGATGCTCCTTGTTCTGTTATCTGCCACCACTGAGAGCAGTTTAGTTCCATCCTCTTTGGAACCACCCGTCAGTTAGTTGAAGGCTGCTGTTAAATCTCTGCCTGTCCTCCCCCCAGTCTTCTTTTCTCCAAACTAAATAAACCCAGTTCTCTCAGCCTCTCCTTAGAAGTCATGTGCCCCAGCCCACTAACCATTTTTGTTGGTCTCTGCTGGACTCTCTCCAATTTGTCTACATCCTTTCCATAGTAGGAACATAAAACTCAACCCAGAAAGGACATTTCTACACTGAAGAAAGATCTAGAATTTTTTCCTATTGTTGTTAACACCAGTTTCTAATGCATGGAGGCTCAACTTCTGGGAGTATTGGCATAGACAAGACCATAGCATTTTGTTTTAATAAATTCAGTGTTAGTTGGATTTACTCTATTAGGAAACCTAACTTTACCTGGAACTAAAAATGCGAGTAGCTATTGAAGCACAGGTTAATTTTTTAAAGAGACTAAGTGACTTAGGAGCCAAAGTCACATTTTCAGTTGTTGCTTAGGCTTCTGAGTACCAAGTAATGTTTGAAATTGGATTTATATTTCTAAGTCACTTAGGTGCTTGAAGAAAATCTTACCCACGGCCTTGTTTGGGCTGGGAACACAGGCTACTCATCTATGACAAAGGCTGCCACCAATTGATCCAGCTGTAAATGGTTATCTGCTCAAACAGGGTAGGGAGTCAAATATATACCAGACATGATGCTTCCAATATCACTCCCTTTCATGCTGTTTAGGTGCCTTGGTCCCACTAGCTCTACAGGCTGCCAGGTTCAGTACCTGTATTTGGGGTCCCTGTCCTAGATGAGTCTTAGCAATAACTTTCAACAGACTTGTTTATTAGGGCTGCGCAAAGCTTCAGTTCCTGATTCGATTCGGCAGAGATTCAGCCCAATTCAGTAGCTGAATCGTTGACTCCAAATCGAATCAGAGGACCCTTTCATCTCTCCAAATCAAATTTTTACGTCTTAATTTGACTTTAGATTTTATTTTAGAAAAAAATATTTTTATATCCTTGATTTTGTATTGAACACTAAATATACAGGAAAAACAATTTTTACAATAGCCTCTATAATAATAATTTCCCTAAACCAAATTCATATATGACTTCATAATCACTAACAGCCATCATTATAAAAAGGAAGAAGACAGAGAAGGGATTGTACTCTACAAATAAAAAGTCTATCTATCCAGATCTCCATTCATTATGTGAATAGCCAGATTTATTTGGTAATATCATTTAATGGATTAACTCAGAGGCATAGCAAGCTATTTCAACACCTGGGCAGAGGTAGAGGCTGTGGGAATTAAGATAATCATTAGAGAATAGGAAGTGGCAGAAGGAGACGGAGCTTGGCTGCTGTAGCTGAGGGATGGGCTTGCTGCATAGTGGTGGAGCATCCCAGCTGACCCAGGCTCCCCAGAGCTGCTCCTGGTGCCCTGTTCACTCCCTCTCCTCTCTCAGCTGAAGGTGTTTCATGTGCCACAACCAGTTTGCAGAACTGCCCAGATTTTTCTTTCCTGCATTTGCAGTAAGGCTGCTTCTAGCACCAGCAGAAACTAGAAGGCACTGCACCTCCAAAATGTGAAGTAAGCTGAACTTTAGTAATATCAATTTCTATTTTATATAATCATTTCACTCTGTTGTATTGTAAAATTCACTGCACACTTCTGGTATTT